TTGGAATGCGATAGAAGCCTGAATAGTTACCAGAGTTTCGGGGTGGTTCTGATACCATAAACAGGGGGGAACTTAGAGAACACTATGAGGGACCATGCAAAATCGCGGCAACAAAACAGCTATGCAGAAAAGAGAAGGCCTTGTCAGAATCAAACACCTATAACCCATAATAGCCCTGAATGCACACCGTCACCCGCAGGGTTTGAGGAGCTCGAAAGAAGAGGCAGGATCGCATGGGCTGCTTGAAAACAGGCGTTACCTGAAGGGTCCGACAGCTCAAATAGTTGCAGGGAGTTTCACAAACAAAACTTAAGCTTGTCGGTGCTGCCTGGATGTGGTTGCCACGGGAATCGCGCCATTCCCCTTGGCTCTATGGTGTTATTCATAAGGGCTTTAGACTGTTGTAAGTGTCTTACAAGACTTTCCACTTCAAGGTCCCAAAGGAAAGGGTTCTTGATGAATGATCTGTGCCATTGGTTGAGATGAGAAAACCACTGAGGAGTCTCTGGGCATGCTGCTAACATCCAAACCCAAACTCATGCTGCAGGGGCTTCGAATTCGAATGGCTCCCCTTGTCTAACCTTAGGCCCTAAACCTAGACCCTACCAATCACGAAGTCCTAAGTCCTAAGTCCTAGACCCTTGTTGACCAGACTGGTCCCTGCAGAAAGCATAGCTTCGAGCGATACTTCGAGGAAGATTGGGTTTGGGGTTTAGGTGACAATAAACCCCAAGCCCACACCCTAAAACCCTGACCCGTAACTTAGGTTCCCGATTTGCAGCGTCTTGTGTCGGCTGCGGTGGGCACAAATGCAGCAAACATCCCAATCTAGAGTCCTTGCTTGGCAGCATTCCGACGATCGACTCCAAGTACCAAGTCGGCCAGTCTAACCAGCAACCCATGACAGCTGCAAGAACACGTCTCTTGCGCGTCGAGTTTTCCCCATCAGGCAATACGGGGCATGCCAGGGTTGACACCGGAGTTCCCCATGGTGAACTGGCTTGAAGGGACTTCCGGCGACTTGCTGCGACTTAGAGCTGGCCCTCAGTACATTATGTACCCACAGATTCTGATTCGGACTGTCGGGCCGCGGTCCTCATGTTGAGGAGCTGGGCGGCGCGTCCCGTACCCACAGATACTATATATACAACCTTTAGGTTTCTTGTTACATTGTAATATAAGGCTGAAACCATCACGGAAGGTTTCTATATTATTATGATATGGAGCCCTGGGATGTTAGGTGCTCCTACGTGCTGCGCCGTACCACTAGGTCATCGGCGATCAAACTGTGTACATGTGGCTGTGTGCTTGAAAGGATTCTGTTTTCATTCGTTTGACTCAACAAGAGTGCATGCTTGCTTTGGCAACACGATGGCGTAGCGAGTGGCCGAGGAGGGTGGCCAGGCTGAAGCCAGCAGCCATGTAAGAGATCTTTATATAGTGTTTATAGGGTTCAGGATCCACGGTTTAGGGTTGAAGGTTCAGGGCTTCGGCTTCAAGGTTTAGGGTTTATTATAGAACCTGTGCCCTCAGCTTTATACAGGTGTAGGCTTCTTTCTGAATGCAGCCTATTTAGCTCGTATCCATGTCCGTGACTATGTGCACTGTCATTGCTGCAGTGGGCACTGTGCTGATGAGCAGATGATGAGCGACATCCCAAATCCACCTAATCCCTAATGCCTAAACCGTTTAGGATTTCGGGATTAGGTCCTAAACCCTATATCCAAATCCTGAAATTCATCCTGAAATTCTCAGTTAATTTTGAAACAGCACCCGAACCTTCAAACCTTAGGGCCCTCATATCCTCAATCCTCAAGCCCAGACCCCCCTACCCTCCAAGCCGCAGTTGTTGGGCGATAGCGGTTTAGGGTTTAGGCTTTCTAAACGGCTTAGGGGTTGTTGCAAGAGTAATTTCATGTTCGGACTTAGGCTGCTCAAAGGGTCGAGGGACTTGGAAAGCAGGTTCGAAATGTCAAGACTTTCCGCGGACCTTCCGCGCATGTCTCCTATCATCCTGTAAATTTTGGAGCCGGTGATGATCTGATGAGCATCATGATCATGATAACGCTGAAGTGCTATTCCTTTCGCCACATGACTTTGCTCGTGAACACGTACGTGGAAATGGCAAGAACCTGATAACAAGAAGCCTGGTGGTGATGCTGATAAGGAGCATGCTTCTGACAAGGATGGGTGACTCTGAATCTTGCTGGCATCTCCCAGAATAGAAGGAAAAAGCTTCGCCCATTATGCATCGAAGAGCACAGATACAGCCATTAAGATGCAAGTCTATGGTCATACACAAGTTATTGCTGACGGTCTGGGGACTTCGGCTTCGGGGCTTGTGGATCTAGGCTTTTGAGATGACTTTGGGTTTAGGGTTTAAAGCTTTTTGAGGTGCGGTTTACGGTTTGCATCATCATGTTGTCCCTTCTTCGGGCACATATTATGTACATTCAAGGCAAAACGCAGGATATCTGCGGCACGACATATTTTAAGGTGGAGCTTCCGCGGACGACCGATTGCTTCCGCAGAGCTTCCGCGCACAAGTCGCGTGCAATTTTTTCGGCTGAAACGATTCATATTTCCAGGCCTAATCATAATGAAAGAAGCGAGCACAAAACACCACGGCTCAAGTGTCAGATGTAGCACAGCCTTTAATTGATTGTACTTGTTGTTCCGCTTAGAACCTGCTACCTAGTGAAGCTCCGAATCAATACCACAAACCATTGCTCCCCAGATTCTGACTAAACAGACACCGCAGACAAATTCCAACGCACCGCCACCCTTTTTGTTGCGGCTGGCACAAAGCAGGTACAGCCTTCAGGCGGCTGTAGCTCAGGGGGGGGCTCGCTTTCAAAGGACCCCTTCCTGGTCAACTCCGATTGTGTTGAGCTCTTTGCCGCTGAGCCCACAACTGCTTTCAAAATGCTCGATGGCGTGCGACGCTTTTGATTCATCAAGCCGAGCTCTACAATCTTGGCACCACAAGCCCAACTGAAGCCTTCACCCTCTGCCTAGGACAACTGTCGAGAATAGCCCGGAAGTCGCAGTAGCGTGCCCAGAAGCTCTTTGCTTCAACCAGACATAACCAGACATTGGACCAAACTACAACTGACACATAAGAACAACTACAACATCTGCTATAGTGACTTTGAGAGTTTCAACTTTTGAATGCTTGGCTTTAGGGGGCGAGGGTTTACGGGTTCAGGTTTGAGGGGTTTAGGGTTTAGGGGATTTGGAGATCAGAAGTCCCTCTGGTTAGAAGTGTAGCTATACACTTGCTTCTAGAAGGTACCTTGAACCTCCAAGCAGGGACCTACAACCATCCTGAAAGCCTGAAAGTATAACTACACCCGAAACCCTAAACCCCGAAAGGACAATAAAGCTACCCTTGAAAGACACGTCGTGACGCGCCACCATTCTGTCTTGCGGTCGCAGCCGATCCGTCCGTACGCAAATGCACAGCAATGCCAGGCACAACTGCTCATGCAGCGTCTGGACTGTCGCGATTGGGGTTTCGGGTTTCGGGTTTAGGGCTAGGATCTGAGGTTGATGGTTTAGTCTGGGATTATGAATGAGCTTCCGATTGTTTCGAGTACCTACCCCTCAGCGGCATGTAGTGCTTCCAAGAGCGGCTCTCTCAACAGTCACTTGTGTGACGTGCTATCACCTCCAAACACCAAACCCTGAAGCCTGAAACAAATCTCTAAAGTTTGGCATCCCTTGAAAGAGCCCTTAGAGGACCTCCTCAACATGAAGCCTTGGAGGAGAGAGTGGGTTTGGGGTTTAGGCTCATTTTCTTCCTTTTCTCCTGCGCTGCACGCACAGAGAAAACAGAGCTGGAATGAGCTCAGGATTTAGTAAGGGTTGACAGAGTTGCCGTGGGGTTTCTAAGGGGGCTTAAGGGTTTTTTAACAAGTTTTATAGGGTTTACAAGATTTAGAAGGGCTCATATAAAGCTTTCGGGTTTAGGGTTTGGCCTTTCGGGTTGATCCAGTTCAGACCGGGTGAGTAGGTACGCGTCCTTTTCCCTCTGGTGTAGGCAGCCAGTGGTAACCTTTCCACGAGTCAGCCCCTGAACCCCAAGGTAAACCCTAAACCCTAAGCCCTAAACCCTAAACTGCCACAAACCCTAAACCCTCAACCCCCCCGCAACTCTAAAACAATTAAAATTAAAAACCTCCAGGCTCAAGGACCGGGCAGAAACAGCTCGGGCACGAAGCCACGATTCGACTCCGGGGCTGTGGCGCGCAGGGCTTCTTAACAGCAGGGATATCTCGTCGAGGGGCCCAGGGCTCCTTCCCTGAAGGTCTCCCTTTTGGTCTCTGAATGTTTCTGAAACTCCCACGACGAAGCGACTGTCCAGGGCGGCAGGAAGCCAGGAGCTTACCTTTTGGACAGTCTTGCTTGCTCCCTAAACCTGTAACCCGATGTCTTGAACCCCAAAATCCCACGCACCAAAACCCGAAAACCTCAATCCCCACTTGACTAAAACCGAGATACCGCAAGCCCTGTAATTCAGGCCCCATTTCAAGCCTCGAACCCACATTTCTCAACCCTCAACGCTACACGGTTTAGGGCTTAAGCAGCAAGAAATACACCTTCAACCCCCAGAGCCCGGCAAGGTACAACCCAGAAGCCCGGCCCCAAACCTTGGAAATCTCTGTGTCCTAACATACTCCTCCCCACAAAAGGGGTTCAGGGTTTAGGTTATAAAGTCCTCTTATATTACATTATATTTTAAGATATTACATTATATTACATTATATTACATTATATTACAGTATATTACATTATATTACATGATATTACATGACATTATTATATACTATATTGCAACTGAAGGGCGCAGGGGAAGCCCGGAGTCGGTCAAAAGGACTAATACCCCTAGGCTCCTTAGTAGCTCCTTTTTGGGAATACCCTTATAGGATCCTAGATACCAACCACAAAAAAGGAGCTACTAAGGAGCCTTTTGGGGTAACCTTATAAAAGGCTAGACTTCAATCGCTCAGGGAGTGGACTTGTGCATTCTTTCCGCTTGTACCCGTGGAGTAGCCGGCTGAGTACCTGTCCCCGCTCAGGCTTTGCTTTCTGTCTCTTTCTTTAATGGACCGGAGAGTCACGTCGGACATTGGCTAGATTAATTTCCTTCTCCCATAGACCATAGGCCCTAAGCCTATCCTTAAGAGGCTGCACATCTTCAAGATAGGACATTCGTTTATTGACCCGTAAGTTCATCCGTTTATTGGCCTGTAAGTTTGCTGCACATACTGCAATGAAATGCACTGCTAGCTGCACATAGGCATTACTCGGCCCTCGTTCTTTCCTTGATACTGTCGCAGTGTTATCTCCTGTTTCCGATTAAAGCAGTCTGCTCTGTGACTCTGCACGATCCCGACTAGAGTTTTACAACTTTGTAAAGCCTCACGGGAAATCCTCAAACCCTACGCGCCGCACCATGAAATCCAAGCCCCTCACATCCGAAAACCCTAAGCACCCTAAAACCTGAGAAAGCCATACAACCCTAGAAGCCATAAAACCGTGCACCTACACTGAAGTCCGGAGGTAAACGGAAGCGCTGGCTATGCTCAATGGAGCATGGGAACTATCACTAACTAAGGTTGTGTAAATTTGGGGGTATTATGCACAATTATTTCAGAAAGTTGCATATCTAAGCTGGAGTTACATAAACTTGCGATACGTAAAAGTACATGTATGTGTGTGTGTATATATATATAATATAACATATGCACACCTGAACTTACACCAAACCATCCTTGCAAAGTCCCCTGATCCTTCAAGTGTTCCGAAACCAGTGGCTCCTCCAGGTCCGCGACGTTAGAGGCTCTACTGCATCCTCACTACATGCTGTGATACTCTCAAGGGTTCGCGGCATACTCAGTCAACAGGGACCCCGATCAAGAGACCTTGCACAAGTCTCTGCATCTCCCTGTGCGATTATAGTTTTTCACTCATCGTCGGCACGACTTCTGATTGCGCTGCACATGGCAGAAACTTTAGATGTGACGGGATGCTTAAACCATGTTTTGCAGGATGTTGCATGTGCTTGCTAATGGCAACTATTACTAATTGAGTAGGGAAACCTCGCAAAGTACTGTCCGTGCCTGATCGTGGCAAGACCGCCCGCGATCACGAGCATGGTAGCACTGAAGATGGCTGTCCCTGGGAGCCTTCTGGCCCAGACATTCATGTTCTGATCCACGGGGTAGAATTGCCAAGCCACTCAGCTGCGCAAGCAAGCAAAAGACTGATCCTCTAGAGTTTCGTTTAAAGGACGGCATAACAACTCAACATCGTTTAGGGTTTAGGGTTTATCTCTGCGACAGTAACCCCTGCGGCCCAGCGGCACTGCTCGAAAACCAGAGCTCCAAAGACAAAGAGGAAGACAACTGCCATGATGCAGAGGTTGACCATCAGCTCACACACCATCCAGGTCCGTCTGCTTTGCAACACGTATGAAAGCCTGGCGGAGGTGGCGTAGCCATCATAGCGGGGGCCTTAACGGCTAGAACAGGTCTGGTTATTCAGACCTCGCTGTTCTTTCTCAAAGAAACCCAAACAGCCATTTCTGGGGTGTATCTTTTGGGGTCCCCAGCAGATTCCTCTATGGGACCATAGTCGGACAGTTTCCAGTTTTCCAACGATGCCACATAGATGTTCCAGAAGATCAAATGCAACTCCCAAAACCTCGTGAGTGAAACTGAGCCATGTGCAAAAGTACGAAGAGGTCAGGCGTCCTTGCTTCTGCTTTCAGGCTCAACGGTGCATTATAGATATCCAAAGCCCCAAACCCTGTAACAGTTAGCGTTTATAGGTTGAAGGTTGCTGGGTGTCAGGATCTTAAATCGAAAACATGTGAAATCCTAAACCGGCACTGTAGAGGACTAGGGGCTACTGCACAGGCCTAGTCGTCAGGACCCCCTAGAGCATCAGAACTCAGAACCCTAAACTGTAAGCCCTGCACTCGAAACGCTCGATAAACCTTCTAAACCGTAATTAAAGAAACAACCCTCACAACCCCAAACATCCTTTCTAGACACTACACAAACCCTATGCAAGGCATCGTCATTTAGCTTTGGAAAATCTTCCGCTTACTTGTCCAGTATCCCCGGGACTAAATGTCAACCTTTTCAAAACTTTCGGATTTTGTAGGGATTGTATTAAAGGCTTATTAAAAAAAGTTAAAGGTTACCTACTCTACGATTGGTCTGAAAATTTCAAGTCGACATCCATGGCGGGGCTTCAGGTCCTCGTTGCAAGGTTTCGGCATACATGTTTTTGGGGCTGTACCCTGTTATATAACTTTGGGGTTATGCCTAGCTGCCATTTTGCGGGGTTTGGGGCTACAGGAACGTCACACCCTAAGCTCGTAAATTCGAGTCCAAACTCTCAAATCATACACTGAAGCCTAAACTGCCTAAACCCCTTTGATCATGATAGCGTCCTAATTCAAACCTAAACGCTGTGCAATGACAGTGTGAGCCCGATACAATACCCTAAACCCAAAGGCCTCCATGTAAGGCCCGTTTACATTACACCCTGAAGCCTTTGATACACTACCGTAAACCCTACAGTTGTTGTGCACGGATGCCGCAAGCCGTAAACCAGCCTCTCAGGGTCCAGGTACTCTTAAAGTATGGTCGGATTTTATGAGCCCTAAACCCAAACTCCTAAACCCTAAACCCCAAAAGGGTTAAAGGACCCAGCCCCAAAGGCCTGATCCCGATGATCATCGTCGCAGGCACCACGCCAAAGGCCCAGCCTAAACCTCGAACCAGCTCTTGCAAAGCCGCCCCACTTGGCTCCTCCCCTCACGGGTCGGTTTAGGGTTTAGGGTGACGTGTAGGGTTTAGGATGGATTGTCGCGAGACTGAGAAGACAGCTTGGCAGAAATTACCTCATGTTTATGATAAGGGGACCCAGGAATTGTATGGCTAACTATTCAGGCCCATGCATTAGGAGTAGAATCGTTTTGGGGCCCATAATGCCATGATTATGAGAAGGAACCCCCAAAATAGTATTGGTACTTATTTAGGCCCCTACACTAGCGTTCAGCGTTTTAGGGCCTGGGTCTCGGATTGAGGGCGGCAAGCCTGGATTCGAAGTCCAAGTCACTTTGTTGGGTCTGACATGTCATATGGGTAGTTCTCTAAAGTAGGGACCCTTTTCAGGTCCCCAATATAGGACGGCACCCCTATAATGAGGACCCGGAAAAGGAACCCTGATTTAGAAAACCACCCATATAGACTTGAACTGGCATTGTACCCACACCCGATTTTTAATTACGGGCTGAGAGTTTGTATGCGGGACTGTGTGGTCGAAGGCTCCAATGTCTAGGAGTCGGGATTGGAGGTCGTGTGACCCAAGTCCTCGCGATAGCTGATCAAAGTGAGCCGTGGCAGCTGCGTCCATATGATGCCAAAGCATCGGCAGAGCTGAAACAGCGATCTGCTTGTACGTGAAAACCTCTGTGGAAAGCTGTTCTTGCAGGCATTGCAGAACATCTGTTCGTACATGAGCCTCAAAATTCTCGATGCTGCCGAACCAAAGCGTGATGCACTGCAAAATGACACGGCGATCACAAGTTAGAGGCTTTCCATCCTCAGACACATGTCCAACAGTGCAGCAGTAGGATGAGCTGCTGTCGGCGACAAACTGCCCAATATCCTGCTCTAGCGCCTGCACATAACGGAAGTATGCTCGTAACCTAGGTTGGCCCATCAAAGCCACTGCAAAATATTCGTAAACAAGATCCTCTTACACCCAAGGGGGGAAAATACAAAATTTCCCAGAGCCTACCTGGTAGCTTGATCGCAGACCAGGAGAAGCCAGTCAAGATGAACAGCGCAATGGACGGCCAGAGAACGAAATAACGCAGGAAGCCCTCAGCTGCTTTCTGTTTCAGGACCCTGAAAACATGACCCTGGCATGGGATTCAGCTTTAGGTAACATTAGTAGCAGGTAGTACCCTGAACCCTAAACCCTGCAACCCTGAACCCTTAGGTTCTGTAGAGTTTTTTTATGGGCTTCAGAAGACCCAGCGTCTGGATCTGTCCCTTCGAGGTGGTCTTTGTTGGGGAAGAATGTGAGTGCGAGCATCACATAGGATAGGGCGATCGGCAGAGAGATGAAGAAGGGACCCAGCCTGGGTTGAAGTTGTGAAGGGCCTGGGGATTATATACAGCCCCGGATTTACAGTGATTTATTTATGTGGGGGCTTACGTGGGTTTAAAGTGCGTCAAAGAACTATGAGTTAACTACTGTGACTTGCTACATGCAGAAACCACTACATACTGTGCCTTCCCTATCCTGGAAATTCAAACTACAAGTCCAACAGTGATCGAACGAGAACCCAGCAACAGTGTTGGCCTGATAGTCAGCTTCACCTTCCTCTCATCGGCGTTGCGACTGTGCAAGAATGCGGCCAGTTCGAAGACACACCAAAGGCGACGGCTCCACGACGGATCCCAGAAGACAACAAGAGAGTCTGAGGCCCTGAGAAATGCACCAATGCTTACGAGGCCAAGCCCAAAGCGTCGCCGGCTCACCTGGCTTTGCGTCTGGAGTACCCCCTGAAAGATCGTGGCTTTGGTTCGCTCTTGCAAAAAACTTGTACTGCACTGAGCAACAAAAAATATTCACAGGGGCGGCCAGCCAAATCCAAATTCGAGCTGGGAGGTGCTGGCCACAGCATTGGGCATGGGGGGTCAACAGCGGATTTGGACTTGTGAGATTTTTTTCATGTGCAAGTATCTAGGACATCACGTCCAGAAGGTAGTGGTATCATTTCACATATTTTGGCGGCTTCGACGGCAAGCCTGATCGATGCAGAAGGCATCCAGGAAAATGCTCTGCGATGGCTTCCAGAAGAGCAACACTACGAAGTAGAGCCTTGGCTGGCTGTCGGAAGGTCTGTAAATCAAACCCAAGACCCAAAACAAATCCGGCCCAGCAGCACCAAGCACACAGCGCTGACCCAGAACGAATTTTCCGGATATGGTGGCCTGAACAGTTCGCAGGAAACCTCGTAATAACAAAGGAGTCGGTTATCCTGCTAAAGTCATTACTAACATTACTGCTTAGTCTTAGTAGTAGTAGTAGTAG